TTTGACTTTTAATAAATATTTCACTTTGATTTATAATACCGCAGAACATTATATTTATGCTGAGTTTTGATAATTATCTGATGTTGCTGAGCTGATAAGAGGAAAATAAAATGACCAGTAAACATGAATGAGTTGTTGATTTTCCATCATAAATCTCTCAGGATCACCCAATATGCCATGATGCGGTATTTCCAACTACCTTTACATAAGAGGCACAGATGACCTGTATGGGTGGCGGTTCGGGCCAAATACGATAAACAGTAACGCGTTAAAAAGTAACGCGTTAAAACTTACTTTCATTTGACTCGTTAAAAGTCACTTTTTTAACACGTTACTGTATATCGTTTTTGGCCCGAACCGCTACCCATAGACCTGTATCTCTGAGCATTATGGCGAAATATTATAATTTTAGTAGTGTTGTAAATATCTTCCCATTTGGGCCCCGTCTCTCAGGCCCAATGATGCTTTAAAGCAAATCTGGTTGAGATCTGCATTCATTTTATATGGTAATTAACAGGGTAAATGTCTTGATCGTTTCCATGTCATGACCTGGGAATAAGTTCCCAAGGGCATGGCTATATCCTGGGGGTAATCCTGAAAGCATGCTTGTGTTCTTCGTGTTCATGTGTTAATGGTTTTATCGTGGAAATATCTATACTGCCGGTCTACATAAATTTGTATCCAAGTATCATTGCTCAGCTCTAGACCTTATGATTCTTCATATGAAATTGTTTAATCTCAGAATGAAACATTAACAACTAGGCCGGGACAAAGTGGAACCTGAAGTTTACGAAAGACCTGTTAAGTGCTTCTTGAACTGTTCAAATCCTATGTGGCTGCCGTTGTCCGCAATTCTTGTTATCGCTATTTTTCAAGAAGTACTGATTGGATCTTTTTCAAAGTTCATGTGTATCAGTATATGTGATGCTATTGTTGACGAGTGGTTGAATCTTTTACAATTTATTACTAGGCCGAGTTTCCCTTACACCAGTCAGGGCCAGAGGAAACTCGGGCTTGTGTATTACACGCAGGTATAAAACATGAACCAGAGACGTGTAATACATTATGTAGTATACGTCTCTGCATGAACACAACAGTTATAACAAATTTAATTAATATATCATTTTTCGGGTATGCGTATTCAAAATAGGGCATGTAAATATGCATGGTAGTGTAATACCTGTACTCCAAGATATATGTATATATTATATTCTAATTTTAAAGGTCATTTGGATGCGACTCCGGAGTGAGGCAAGGTTAATTTGTATCCCGAGTCCGCTGCTGTTCCCGCTGCTATGTCGAACTTGATTATTTACCGTACGGGAAATTACATTGCCGAAGTGTTCCGAAACATTTAAGGTTTTAGAAACAACTGACAACGCCCGGACATTGTCATCGGCCTGTGTTCATGTAATTACCAACTAAAACTTTAATTTGAGTGATATCTCTTGCTGGTGGTAACCAGATTGATATTATTCTTTTAGATTTTTCTAAAGCGTTCGATAAGGTCCCCCGCCAAAGGTTAAATCATAAATTAAATTATTATGGTATAAGAAACCAGAATTTAAACTGGATAACTGATTTTTTAGCTAATAGATAACAGCAAGTTCTTTTAAATGGTTTGAAATCTTCTAAATTAGCGGTTGACTCAGGAGTCCCTCAGGGAACAGTTTTAGGCTCAACCTTATTTTTACCTTTTATAAATGACCTACCAGACCATATTAACTGTAAAGTTAGGCTTTTTGCAGACGATTGTCTACTGTATAGAGATATTAATAACCAATCGGATCGAACATCACTCAAAAATGATTTATCTAACCTTGAACAATGGGAAAAGGATTGGCAAATGAATTTCAATCCGCAAAAATGTGATGTCATCCATGTATCTAAAAACAATTAACCAATTTCTACCATATTTTAGAGTCTGTAAAAGAAAATAAATATCTATGGGTAACTGCATATAAAAGTAGTAATGATCTTGATTGGGGACCACACATTAATAACATTACATGCAAAGCAAATCAAACTCTTGGCTTCTTGCGTAGAAATTAAAAAAAAAATGCACACGTAAGGTTAAAAACATTACGTACACATCACTAGTGCGTCCAGTCGTGGAATACTCCTCACCTGTTTGGGATCCATACAAAAAAACATCAAATCACTCAGGTTGAGCAGATTCAGCGGAAGGCAACTAGATATGTGTATAATTATTATACAGATCGTACCACTGGTGCAGTTACTAATATGATAAAATCCTTAAAATGGGACAGTTTATAAAACAGAAGAACTAAAGCCAGACTTGTTACACGTTATAAATTTAATTGGGGGTTGGTCGAAGTGCCTAAAGACACTCTAGTCAAATCAGACAGTCGCACTAGAGGTTAACATAAATTTAAACAAATTTCTACTTCTAAAGAGATTTATAAAAATTCTTTCTATCCCAAAACAATAACAGACTGGAATACCTTACCAGAATCTACATGTGTGCATGACTTCTTCCCTTGAATCCTTCAAAAGTGGCATCTCCACTTTATCATTTGAAGGGGTCAAATCACAATACTAAACCATAAGGCCACTGCACAATTTGTATATATATGTTAAAATGTTGTTAATCTTCAATCGGTTTTTTTAATTATTATTAATGTTATTCACTCCTATTATATACAAATGTATAAAATGTTAAAGTCCTTTCCAAATTGTACTAGAGTTGACATAGCGCTCAGTTCCGGGACGTTCTACACTCCTATCACAGGAGTCTACTCCCGCACTTCAACTACTTGGGCAGACCACGGAATTAGATTAGATATCTAAGTCCGTGGGCGGACCAAGTCCAGACCCAAGAAGGAAGAAGATTTTTTTTGTATCGGAGTAACTCAAGTTGAATGCCTTATGGCGTTAGTTGACTAAATAGCCCATTTAACAAGAAAATGCAGCTAAGCTGCTGGACACCAAACCTGTTTATGAAAATGACTTACTGACAGCTGTCCATCAACCACGAGGGAACGGATCCTGCATACTTGAATCTATTGAATCATAAACACATCAATTGTAAATGACATTAATTGTGTTGTTCAGAATATTCCATTCACGCTCAATATCTAGTTTTAACCTCACGTTTAGGCCAAATGTCAATGATTTGGTAATAACGTCATCTTCTGAGAGAGAGAAGCTGGGACATAAGACGATTTATACATGTATAAAAGATCCTTCACACCTTTTGTCAAAACTGCAGCAGTTTTTGCATATGTTTCTTTTGACAAAGTCCCTATTTGACTATTTTGGATAAAATATCAACCATTTTCTAGGTTAAAGGGTCAATCGTAGCCCCCCGCCCCTTTGGATAATAGTTATTACTTCTCGAGACAGCAACGAAGACATATTTTGCCACAACGCTGGGTTTTTTGGTTGTTATCACATATTCGTTTTATACAAGTGAAATATGTTAAATAATTCTCCAAATACGGAAGTTAATTTTCCCTTTTGTTGTTATTTTATGAAAAGCATTGAATATCTATATATATCCATATATACAACATTTGATGTAGCGCCCA